ATCGACGAAACAGTGACGTTGGCTCACGCAGAAAGTTTCACTAGGTGATGGATGGGGACACTGATATACAGAAACTAGGCCACATTACTCCAGTACAGTGGCATACTGCCGAAAAATGCAGTACTCGGAAATTGTCCGATATTCTACAGGTTTCGTCGTAACTGACGAAAAAGCATCCTCGTCCGACACTTGCCTGTTCTTGCGGACCATTTCTGGCGGGTACTTGGAGCAACTTTCAGGGATTGTGGCCCTCCCAGAAACCATCTTTGATAGACCTTTTGAGGTGATCCCTTCAAAGGGGAACAACCTTAGCAGCTACTTATCCACAAGCCGTCTGTTATAAAGGCACACCAGTACAACTCAACAAATAACCACCGCTGTATACAAATCCATCTGAATTACCAAGTATACGTGCGGCTTTTTGTTTGGAATACTTTAAGGGCGGTTGAGGAAAGCCATCAAAAGAAGTTACGCCTAAGTGCGTTTCAATCAGGCGTTTGTTGAGGACGAAATGCTGCACCTTAAAATGGTGATGCTACTGGCACGTTAAGAAGTAGTCCGAATAAGCAACTGATTTGATGCGCACAATGGCTTTTAATCTGCAAATAACACCGAACTTCGCGTAGACGTAATACACTAATTATAAGGCTGCTGAGAACCTTGGACTTTCCGAGACCGGTTCCGCCCTTCTAAGGGCTCACTAAAGCCAAATCGACATGCAAATCAATGTATTTGTCAAAACCGTCCAATTTGGGTTCAAGTAGATCATAAGGTTGACGGAAACTCGTGGACTGCGCCCACCCGATGAGCCCCGGGAAAGGTAAAACCGGCCGTGGGCTGTCGAAGAATTTTCGGAAACCCTATGAGTAGTGCATTACGTCTGCAGAATGTATCGCCATATATCGAATTCCACATAAAATGAAACATGAGGCGGTCTGGTGCAGCACATTCCGTTGCTTAAGAACACCATGTACGAGAGATTCAGCTGGGATTCAGGTAACCCTCCCATCATAACCAAATTGGTATGCAAATGACTGTATTTCGCCAACGTTAAACGCTTCGCCGATGCAAGCATAACATCTATTGCTGATTCCATGTGCGAATTTTGTACTATTCTACGTGCTGCATCAAATTTCCCTGAAAATTCGCCATAAGCAGTTGGCTACCGGGAGCTGTACACAAAGCCTGTATTCTCGTTGACGGAAGGCCGACAAGTGTGTCTGAAAAATTCCTCAGTTTCGATTTCGTACACCATTTATTGATGTTTCTACTAAGTATGATACATTGAGAACCCGCATTGAAAGAATCGTCATTACACTAGGGATAACATTAGTGTGAACCTACCTTCACACTCAAAACTGCTGTGTGAAATTTCTACCGTGGGAAACACCGATGTGTTTTTAATCAATGTTTCTTGACGTGTGGTCGAAAATCTCACCCGAACAGGTTTTATGGCTAGGCCATCAAGATACACCAAACCTACCAAGTCACCTGTTTCTTAAGGAACCCGTAAACGCATAGCAACTGTTAGCTAACTCACAATGCAAGCTAGATGTGATAATGAAGGCTTAGTTGTTCAATAGGCATAAGAGTACAAGGTTTTGCCGCTAGATGAGCAGACTGCCTTCAAATTCCTCATGGTAAAGGATGGAAGTCCCATAGTCTTGAATGACGTGGGAAAATCTCAGATTGTTGTCTTCCGACGCGCAACAGGGTTTTGAGACGACTTACCTGATCACCGTTGTCCTTAGAGTGGTATCCTGATTTAGCCCACCATTGTAATATGTGGGTATGAAATTTAAGCGTTAGTAATTCAGCAAGATGGCTCAGTGGTGAAGGCGCCAGCTAACGAACTGGGACATCCGTAGTTCGAACCCAACCTCTGCCTCTCAACTTCCCTGTCTAGGCTTGGGCAACCTGACAGTACCCCAGACCTCGTGCTTTCTTTGGGTGGCATGACAGCTACGCACCGAAAGAATGTTACAGCTGAGCGATTTTTATTAAGTAAAAAAAGATGTTTAAATAATAGCTTTCAAATGATTTTCATAAAGGAAACTATTCACAAGGTTGCTGAAAACTCTTTGACAGCCCACGACCAGTTTCGCCCTTCTTAGGGCTCATCAGGTAGGCGCAGTCTCCGAGTTTCCGTCAACCTTATGATCTACTTGAACCCAAATTGGACTGTTTTCGAGAAATACACTCATTTGGAAATCAATTTGGTTTCCACGGGAGACTCAATTGAATCTCTCGTTTATGAAAATATACTGCGATATCTCGAATATCGTGCCAACTGAATCATGAGGCGGCCTGTGTGAAGCGCATTCAGCTGGAGAACATCATAAACGAGAGATTCGATTGAATCTCCCGTGAAAAGCAAATTGATTTGCAAATGGGTGTATTTCTCGAAAAGCTTTCAAATGCCTTTTAACTTACTTATCAAGCAAATCCTTTTACGGAACCGTCAGCAATTTGTCCAAATGGAGGTATTCGTTTGACGAAGTGAATTTTGCTCGTGATCCCATACCAATGCAAATTTCAGTGAAACAAATAAACTCTCAGCTGCAGCTCACATAATTCAAACTGCAGTTCACATAACTCAATAACTTCAGCCCCAGAACCGACCGCGAAGCCTTTTTGCACTAGTTTTAACAAGGGATTTGGCTGGATGTAAGAGTGTGTAATAAAAGGCAAGTGAGATGATGCCCCCATCATTCTTCTGCGTCTCCACAAATTCAAAGCATCAACTGACTCACGAAACAGTGAATAGGGAACGTTAATGATGGGATACTGAGGTAGCGTGTGAGTTTTGTGACAAGGCCAAGCGTCCACTCAACTGTTACTCAATAGCCGTTCAGGTTGACGGACTGACGACAAAAGTACACAAAATATGAACAAAGATGCATATTAAAAAAGCGGTGCAGCACATGAAATCAGGCGGGTATGTATCGTTCGTGGAATCAGGACAGGCTATACCGTGGGCGAGAAGTGTATAGAACCACTGGGTTCTCGTCCAGGGAGTGTTCCCGCATATTCCAAGATGGGGCAATCTATTGTAAGGTGATCAGATAAGAAATAGTTCGGTGACTGGAGTTCTTTGGCCATGCGCTCAATTATTTCACCGCCTTGAATTCAATATGGGATTTGGCGATGACAACCAAGGGTCGATTTCAAGGATGTCACGACAAATGCCATTTGGTTGAGCTTTTTGACGATAGTGACTGCTGAAGATTTTGTGTGTGGTCGACAGAAAATAAATTCGGCCATCGACCGAACATGTAAAGCTAGCCATCAATCAAGCTAAAACTCTTCTACTTGTACTATTGCGGCTAAAAGTACTTCTCGTTAATTAATGCATCGGCCAATGACGAAAAAGTGGAGCATCCTCACAGTCCCCAGTACAGTGACGCACTACTTAGTAATCAGTGAGCAAGACTGTAGACCAGCTGGTACAATTTCTTGTGAGTTGCTCAACGCCCCTCGGGAAACAAGAGGTTGTGACACCTGATACATTGCCTGATACTTCCGGCCAAAGGGTGGAATGTACTTCACTAAATACATCCACAAGTAATCCTAACAAGAAGACTGAAGAACATTATGGTAGTTATACCCAACCGATATCAGCCATCTTCAATCTGTTTCATTCCGACGAAAGGACACCATCGCTATATTATCCCTGAGATATTCATATATTGTAGGCGTTTCTGATGTAGGCAACACAACTAACAAGCGCGCAGATACCAGTCTCTAACGCATGGTTGAACCTACAAATGTGAATTGTCTTGGTTTTAAGAATAATCACCCACAGCCACCAACTTAGCGAGATGCAATATACTGACTGTCACCAGCTTCCTCAATGCTTGGACAAACTGGCAGTATCCCAGCCCTTTTGCTTCCTTCGGGTGGCATGGCAGCTAGGCACCGAAAGGACGTTACAGCTGAACGATTTGTTATTTTATTTACCCGATAGGAACCATACAAGACAACGGATGGCCTATTCATACAAGAGTTCTCTTTCGGATGCTTGATCAAACACGAATTCTGCCATGCAGACCAGGGTGTGGAAGAAGGTAGGGTAGCAACACCCGGATAAACAGTAGGATTTTATGGCCTCATTTCGGGATGATCCGGTGAAAAGACTAGAGGAATAGAGTCGATTCCGGGCCTGACACAAAAAATGCGCGGTCCTAAAGCTTAAACCTTCATAAAAAACCTGATAATAATCATCGCGTTAGCATGTGAATCTTCTGACAGGTACACAAAGCACTGGTATCGCTGTACTGAGAACACGATGCTTTGCCAGAAGGACCTGCCTACGCCTCAGCTATATATCATGACGACAAACCGGCATAGTCAGCAAAACAGAGGTAGCTTTGGTTTACAAAGTTCGATATAACCCTCTAAAATAGGCAATCTAGTCGCCTCACTGCAACAGCTAACAAAAGCATTGGTGAGTAGGTAATGAAAATGGGAAAACAGAACACCTCCTGTGGTGGGAGGTATAGGATTCAAACCGATAGGTAGGTGGTTTGAATCCAGCACGGGCCTTGACAAACTTGGACAACTTGTCGCTACATTAGTGGTCAGAGCGCGAATTTACTGATCGGAAGGTCCATGGTTCGAACCCGACCTCTTGCTCTCGACTTCCCCTGTCTAGACTTGGGCAACCTGGCAGTATTTCAGCCCTTGTGCTTCCCTCAGGTGGCATGGCAGCTAGGCACCGGGTGTTACAGCTGAACGATTATTAGTTACCACGCATAGTTTGAGTTGTACGACACCCGTACACCGAAGAGGCCAAAAGGCGACCAAAGACGACGATCAACTGTCTAGACAAAGCGGTCCTCTCCCACTAGCATACGACGGCGCTCTGAAACATAGGGACGGTAGTCCTGACGATGTGAACAATACCCCATAGTGAATGCCATTCTGGAGATTTATCCACTGAGTGCATTTTGGTCGGAGCCCACAGTTTACTTTTGAAAGCTTTAAAAACTGTCTTATGTCTGCCAACGATAAGTCGGGTACGATTGAGGAGTGTACACCATTGTCTAACGACACTCTTCGTATAAAAAAGCTTTTTGGGGAATTTTCGTACACTATCACACGTCAATAGATGTAGGACACAAGTACACGAAGAAACCTGGTCTATAGGCAGTTAAAAATATCCACTTCAAATACATTAGTCAATCTGACATTGCCGATAGGGTGGTAGATACAAAAATGAAAGGAGCTAAGGGAAAATCACGTCTTTGGTAGAAAACACGAGTTTCGTTTTTAAAAAGGACCCGAAAATCGACGGGAGAAACAACAAAGTCACGACTGGGAGGTAAATGCTTGGATACCCGTGATAGCTCTGCCCAAAATGAGGGCGTGAATATCACGGGTTCCTTCGTAGGTGTTAACAGATTCGAGGTTCATCACATGGCGAATCACGTGGTACTCATCGCTCACGCCATTTGCACCCAGCATGTCACGAGCCAGACGTGCGGCAGTCAGGGCCTTGTCGGTTGAGTTGCGCTTGATCAGGCTGACCATCTCCGGAGTGGCTTTGCCAGCATCCATCAAACGCCCGACCTGTAGCAGGGAAAAGCTGACATGAGTACAACTCACAACCTCGGTGGAAAACCCAACCGTTGTAAAGAAGCACGCGAAATGCAAGTGCAGTTTCTATGCAAGACTAGCAATTAATTTGTACGGAAAAAGCAACAGAAGAGGTGACAAGCCGTTGAGGCATGTCAGCATCGCCATTACTTATGGAACCGATTCAACTAGTGAGATCGTTATAGCCTGCAATCAACAATTTATCAGAAGAAGGGTTAAAACAGAGCTTGAAAACTCCAACACAGTCACGAAAGACTTTTTGACGAATGAACATATTCGGCTGGCCTTTATTTGGCAGTTGCCCCATCCGCGGCCTTCAAAATGAGCTGTGCTTTCCATATTAGGAAACAAACAATGGATCATCTTTTATTCCGGTAATACATACACAGTGAGTAATAATACACAGTGAGGATCACGCGGTCCCCATCCTGGAAGGCAAGTAGCACCGACAGCACCCAAGCGTTTCGTGATCTCCTTCATACTCCTCTGCCAAGTCAAGGGTTGGCCACCTCTCTGTTTACGCCACTCTGAATTGGGCATGGGAAACAGCACTCTCTTCGGCAAACGATGGTTTGGCATACGCAACACATGTCCCAACCAATGCAGCTTCTGGTGCTGAACAATGGAAGTACACAACCGAAAATGCGCTTTCTAATTGCATAATTACGGATTAGCCGACACCAACCTACACGAGCTATAGTTCTGATTCGACGGTCCCAAAGAATCGGCCAAAGAAAGTGAAAGGGGATGCCTTAGATACTGCTCAGGAGATCGCCAGGAGGCTTATAGCGAATAATTTCCATTGAGTCAAAGAGAATAGGGGAATCAGAAAAAGCGGACGTGCTTACCTGAACACAACCTTGCAACCCCAAAGCGACATCGGTCATTATATCAGCCAGTTTGACTTGTACCAGCTGGTTGGCAGCTAGCGGCCTGCCAAACTGTTGGCGAGTCAGTGTGTATTCTCTGGCAGCGTCAAGACAGAATTCCGCCGCTCCCAGTACACCCCAAGCAATTCCATACCGAGCACTATTCAAACATGTAAAAGGGCCCTGGATGGATGGAGAACAAAATGTGATAGCCAAATACCGGAATAGCAGTGGCCGTAGAACCTCATGCAGGTCGACAGGCTGATGTAGGATGAAAATAGTCAACACGGATTACGCATAGTCTAACATCAATGCTCCGGATTGGTGCTGCTGATAATGATATGAGGATGATCTTGCAGTAGGACCTTTATACCTCAAATGGCGAGTTGTCCTGTTTTCTTTCCCTAATTTTCGTCAACAATTACATTAGCTCGAAGAAGACGCAAAAAGACATTTCTTTTACGTCTGTCTGATAAATAATCATTCAGTCAGACTGAGAGGACTAGAAGGAAACAAAAAATGCTAAGAAGTGAAGTATCACTATGGACTACATGGTTTTTTCAGGTTGATTTAAACTTTATCATGGAGCTCTTTTGGAAAGGACGAACTATCAAATGGCTAGGCAGACAAGACCTTAGATTAGCAAACAGATTATTCGGGTCACTAACTTGTTCGCTCATACTATCCCTGAAAACTTATGCGCACTGTGTTTAGAACATAAAATATTACGAGGGTGGATGACAAGGGCCAAAACAACTATGATTTGGAAAGGTTCCGTTGCGCTTCTTGAAAGTTGGAAGTGCTAACCATGAAGATGCGTTCCTTAGACGTATGCTTGGCGCCCACAACAACAACGCCAATAAAAAGACAGAAACACCCTTTATCGCGTCAAGGTGCACTGACCTTGATTGAACCAGACAATCTAACCGCGCCGGGGCGACTGCGAAGTGGATTTGAATTTACTTAGCCCTGTGGCTAAGCGCAGTTCCCACACCGTTGCTATCAAGAGCCATTGCATTAAGATCACCAGGCTACCGGAAAGCAAGGTGCGAGAAATCTGGGTTCGTCCCGAGCGGTTCGAGGGATGACTGAACTGAAGTATTGTATGCATACTTCAAAGACACAAATTGAATCGATCGCGGAATTCCGTTGCGAGGCATCCGAGGGGTGCTCGTTTCTCACCTTACTACATCATGGCATTTTAAGATCTCCCGATATGACATCTGAGACCAGGAGAAATTCTCAAATCTATTCGAACTGGATGGAAGGCGCGTGGTCCTGTGACGGACAGCTTGATACAACTAACAAGGCAGTGGAGTTACATTTCTGCAAGCCCGCCACATGAGACATAAAGCCTAGTGGTACAGAGCTTTCTGAATTCCGAGGACATCATCACAACCAACTTAAGAGGATAATGCATCACGCACCTTCAGTCCCTTCACGCCGGGGAGCATGTTGGTCTCCGGAACCACTACTTCGTCCATGTGTATGGTTCCCGTGGAGCTGGCACGCAATGAGAACTTGCCTAAAAGAGAAGACGAGGAAACTGAATAATTTTATATAGTTACAGTGCGTACGAGTGCAGTGTATAGGAGAAGAGTTCCGTACTAAGAAATGTACTACTGGTTTAAGTTGAAATTATTCTTTTAGAAAGTACGTCCATAACATCATACACTCAAGGGATTGCAATGTCCAATAAATAGAAGAACGACAATATCGTGTACAAGTCGGACATGAAGAGCTTAACCAATGCTTAACAGTTTCCACGTTCAATCATAAAAAAGGCAGGCAAATCCAAAGGATTTAATCAAATAAAATAAAATAAAATTACTGTAGACATTTTTTGTGCTGACTCTTCTGCCACGTCCCACGTCTTTGGTTCCTTATTGCAAGGCATCAGAATATTTACTGTAGATTTGTGCTGACTCTTCTGCCACGTCCCACGTCTTTGGTTCCTTATTGCAAGGCATCAGAATATGACTAACCGGGATCAGATTGGAAAAGTGAGTTTTTCGTAGTAGGGTAGCTGCAGCGCAGTAATCTTTATATACTGTGTCAGACTGAAATCTATTCACTTCACTCTGTTAGCAGTACCATCCCTTGGTACCTTTGAAATTTCACCCATTCAGTAGACCAAATAGTAGGCTGTTATATTCTAAATTTTCAGATACACTTTAATGGCATGCCAATCAGGGTATGGTGACTGTCTTGTCTAAAAGAGCATCCATTGATATACGTTACGGAGGTCATCGAGAATTCTGACCACACAGCTGGCGAGAATATCCACCAACTAAATAGTAAACAGTAATAATTCTAGAACCAATCCGAAGAATGATCACTGGAACTGTAAATCCGGTTGCAAGATTCGACGTATTTACAAACCTTAAGACACAGCTGCTTGATACACACATTATAAATAGCTTTGAAACAAAAAGTGCCATTAAGTTGGACTTTGGTGAAGGCTGATTGGACGTGAAGGGATAATCCAGGCTTATTCGAGTTGGTTAGCTAACCACGGAGGACCTGGAAGTGTCAGCGTTATGGACAGTGTGGACGGAAAGATTACTAAGGCAGTCGTGAAATTGCCTTCTAGGGATGATGAGAAATCTCATGTCGGAGCACTGAGTGGCAAGGAACATCTGTGAGAACAAACTATGAACACCATGGGTTTGCGTCAGTGGAATAATGGTGCACATTACCACGAGGTACTAAATTTGAGAGCGAAATCAAGGTCAGAAAACGCAAAATCCGGTGCATTCGGCAAGCTGGTATACTTGAAGGCCAGTAAGCTGGGAAGAATTGAGCGTATCGTATACCTGAAGAGGTCAGACCCGATGAGGTTAGATATACACAGTAAACCAAATCTAAAATGCCACCCTTCGTCTTCCGAGTACATATCAGGTGAAGGTGCTGTTATAGGGAATTAAACTTTGACGAAACTCCTTCAAGTCACTGTTTAACTTCAGGCAATCTAAATAATGACTCTGTCACACAGAAAATGGTGAGTCTAGAAAAGGAAGAACCCTTACTGAATTCTCAGTTCAAATCAAAGACGCGATGCGGCGATGCAAGTGCCTAACGCAGACAACGGGTTGTCAGTGAACAATTCTTCATCGTATACTGTAGTATTACTTTTGTTGGACAAAAACTAGTAACCTGAAGCGGCAAATGACGAGAAGTGGTGACTTCTCTCCATATGACACTTTGAGATGTCCACCGTTGATACACAACTCATGGTTGACGTTCTATAACCGTATATAACGATCTATCAGTGACATCTTTCTTAATTTACAGAGTAAATCATACTCTTCACGTTACCGTACTGCTCATTTCGATGTAATCCGCATGGTTTCCTTCTGGCCTGAAACAAGCAGAAGTTTGTTTATACGGATTCATTCTCCCGCTTTAGGTGTATGCAACACATAAACTATCGGTGTGTCTCTTCAACATACATCTCCATCATTCAGGTTGCCTAGGCTACCCCATTTAGTTTCCGTATTCGTGCTCAAGTCACTGTAGTGAAACAACGTTATTCCGTGAGGTGCTATACCACAGCAAGTCACAATGACACTTCCTGCTTGGTAGCCACCTTGAATGGCCACCACCCTGTATCTTCAAAATCTGATGTCCCACTCAACTCCGCACTGACGATGTTGCCTTGATTGGTGATGGAACGTTTACAATCCAACTGCTAAGCTCGGCGAACAGACCAGCAGAGAACCCGAGCTACCCGTTAAAAGGAAGAAGGCCTTCGCTGCGGAGTTATTTATTAGGAAATGCCAACTGATCGATTACAGACCATTGAACAGGGAAGCAAAACTCTAATTTGCATCTTATTTACGAAAACTGGACACCCATCTTCTCCCGAACAAGTCTTCTTGAACTTTCCTGGAGATTCATTTACTCCGATCATTCCTCGGTCAAATCCAAGCAAATGTTACAAAGTGACTCCACGAATTCCGCAACAGATCTCCACTTTTCACGAGACGCAAAGCGAAATTCTACGAACAACACACACTACTCGCGTGCCTCCCCATCAGTAGTATCACCGTTACACCCGTATTCCGCAATACTGCCTAAATAACCACCGTAATTGGTCGCCGGAAACTGCTCATTTTGTTAATCTAAACTGAACCTAAATTACCAAACATTTAGACACAGACAAGATGGTCTTCCATGTGGAAGACTTTCGTGCGTAACGATTACAATACTGATCAATCGCATTGTGACTGAAATTTCGGTAGCTACCACTTTCAGTATGTTGATGTTGTGGATCCCATAGGTGAATGAAAGGGTCATTTTGTAGTGCTCGGAAATTGGCAAACCCATGGAGCGTTTTAGGTCTCAAACAGACCGGGTCTCCTCAGATGACATAGGACACTGCGGCGAAGCGATTTCTTGTCGCCCAGTTGATCTCAACTCAACTCAGTTCAGTTCAGTTTGAACAGTATGTACGGCCCCGGTTGCCACAGCTTATGGCGGTGGGTGGTGCATTTTGTAACTGCATCGAATATGAATCAGGTGGTGCAATGTAATCTTGCATCATACAGGTCAAGTGACAGCACTCTCACCAGTGTTAACATCGCCCATTAAATCCAGCCCCATCTATGTGGTTTGCATTGTCAGTCATTTGGATCACCGAGAAGGAAAACAAGCACAACTAAAAGCGAAATGAATGAACAGAGGGCTTGAGGGAAATGAACGCAGAAAACGGGACTTCTCATCTTAAGTCACCGGCGTATGATTATATGCCGGGCAGTGGCCATGAAACACTGACGTTTTACGAGTTCTAACCTGGTTAGGAAACCGAGGACCATTTTAGGTGGTGCATCCATGGCCTTCGCAGCTCGAAATCATGTGGTCGGCTGAACATCACACTGCTCCAGTCGAGGCGCTCGGTTTAGAAGTCGCCTTGTTGGCACTCCGAAGACAAGACGTGGTCAACAAAAGCTGTGTTATTTCGGTAGATCACTTCTCAAAAATGTATTGTCCCCGCACAAAAACCGTTCGTACTTTTGGGAGTTGGAAAAAAGACTGTATGGTCTGGGTCATGAACGCTCGAAAAAAATCGCTCAAGGATCAAAAATGTACTTCTGAATAGGTATACATGACTCGCAACGCAATAAATTACCCATCCATCACATGTTGATGATTGGAAATTTTCAATACAGCGGTCCAATCACCTCTGTGTCAGACGTATTTCAGCGTAAACCACGCCCGAAGACGGTCGATAACTTGAATGACTAACTGACTAACTGGTTAACCACGTTTAACGGGATCCTAGACATTTACAGGCCGAAAACATCATAGCTACACCAGAACAAAGGAACGTTCCATATCTTCCAGAGTTGATGACTCGTGTCACACTATTGGCGAGATGAATGGTCCATGGGTTCATCACTATACGGACTAACCGACATTTTATTTTTTTCTACTGTTAAACAAACCAATGCAATAGCGTTATACACACACACACACGTGATTTTAACCTGCATCAGATAATTTCGTGAAGCTTCCTCACTTCGGCAGAGTGAGCAAGAAGTGATGGAAAGACGTCAAAGTTTGCTTGAAAAAGACGGTCAGTAACACCGCAAAAAAGACATCCCGGCCCGCTACGTGGCTTATGTGAGAATATGATACGTATTCATCATTGTGACCAAAGACTGCGTTCTAAACGTGGTTTGCCGATTGACCAAGCATGCATCACCCTTTGCTTTGAAGCACCTAGAGCCATGACCCCCAAGGTTGCAGTACAAGGTGACATAAATATGTGTAACCGATTAAAAGTTTCCCACCGAAGCGCTCTCAAATGGTTGGCATCTGTGCTGGCAACAGCAATTGTTCCTTTTATCAGTTGATTTGGTTACCAGGTGTTTACTTGTTCCCCATCCACAAACAGAAGTCATCGGAGGAGGTCGAAACCGCCACTATCACTTGCGGAAACAACTTGGATGGGGAACGGAAAAACTGGAATTGTTGGAAACCTGAAAGGCCATAACCGATTGTTCAGAGACAATTCCTGCTGCATCAATAGTCAAGGTTAGTGATAGACTAGCTGCACTCGGCAACTAAGTGGCTTTGTGGTTCACTGATGTGTCTTGTTGATCACTTGTCCGATCGCATCGNCAATTCCTTCTGCATCAATAGTCAAGGTTAGTGATAGACTAGCTGCACTCGGCAACTAAGTGGCTTTGTGGTTCACTGATGTGTCTTGTTGATCACTTGTCCGATCGCATCGACTGCTGCGATAAGGAGAGTTGCTCGTGGTGCGCTGAAGGCACAGGTTCGCTGACAGAGGTAGTATGAGCGAGACAGGCCGCGTTTAATCTACAGTGACTCTGAGAATGTTCAACCAACAGCTTCGGGTCTATTCTTAATTCAAAATGCTGTTTATGCTGAGTTCTATGTTTAGCTGTGACAACAAATCAGTGGCACTTCTTCAGTGGTGGCTGCACAATGTCTCCTATTTAAAGTCATCCGTACACGCAGATAGCGCGGCAGTCAACGGTGGCTTGTGGCCGCTAGGATGATATCAAGAAGTCTAAAGGAAGATATCCGCTCTACGAGCTTAGATTACCCACAATCAGTGACAACCTGTGGATCTTAATAGCCCGTTATAATCCTGTGACAAATTGTCACAATAATTACTTTCCTGCACCTTTGCACGAACTACTGGACAGTAGTTAGTATTTCTATCAAAACAGTTACCCTGAATAGCGCTTCGCACGTCAAAAAGACGTACCCGCTTATTCAGCCCGGGACAAAACTAGAAAACTTGGATAGAGGGGCAAATCTTCAGCAAAGGCTGTACTACCAACAAGTGTACTGTGGGCTGTGAAAAAACTGGGCACCAATTCAATCTAGTTCATGAATTTGGAAAATCGTCTATTTAAATAAATCACTGACACAACTGGATCTCAGAAAAACGCACTGAGGAGATTTTATTCCGAAGTGGTAAGGTCAGAGAAACCGTAGTTTCCGAAATGTAATTTTTATTCACCGGAAACTTGGTAGCTATTTGTGCAAAATTCAGTAGGCAGATCCGGAAGGCTAGGCTACAAACTAGTGCACTGTTCATGTGGTAAGCCGACGTTCGCCAGTCGTCTTTCGTGATAATTCTGAGTGCGACAAAATTCACCCGGTCCGCTCGACACTTTGAACCGAGGCCACTGGGTCACAAAGGCCGGTTCACTAACAGTCCACTGAGGCCAAGTGGTGACAGCGATAGGGGATGGGCGGCCATGTGAATACCTTTTCATTTGCCCGATTTCCATGCTAGATCCAACCGTCACTAAGCCTTGGCATAATCTCCTGACGAGCTTCTACAACAGCGGGAAGGGAACAAATCAGGCCGATGCATTCAGGACGTGTATCGACATCAAAGCCCGATTATGGAAACGTGACAGAGTCAAGTAAGATGAGGAATGGGTAGAAGACAGATGACAGGTTTTTACGGCTCAAGTGGTTAGAGGTGACCAGAAGCTCCGTGGTTCGAACCGATCTCTACCTATTGACTTCCCCTGTCTAGGCTTGGTCAACTTGACAGTATCCTGACCCTCGTGCTTCCCTCGGGTGGCACGGCAGCTAGGCACCGGAAGGGTGTTTCAGCTGAACGATTTATTTATTTTACGGCTGTATGTAAGATTTTACAACTGTTGACAGCTGGAAGTGATCGTCATTAAGGAACGGACTCGTGTAAATTCATGAAAACGGTGGTTGGTGGACAAAACTTTCCGAAATAAGTGTGGATGAAGTCAGGACTGAAATGACTTGAGTCTCTAATGTGACGGAATGCCGGTGAAATTGAAGTTGAATATAGTTTTACGGGAGCCGATTAAACAAGGAAGTCGGTTGGACGTTATGATGAAGCTCTGGGAATACATTCTCAAAACCGTTCAGCCCTTTCGATGCCTAGCTGCCATGCCACCCGAAGGAAGCACGAGGGCTGGGATACTGTCAGGTTGCCCAAGCTTAGACAGGGGAAGTCAATATGCAGAGGTCATAGTCGAACCACAGAACTTCCGGTAAGTAAATTCGCTCTGTGATAACTGAGCCATCTCTCCCGAAGTTTGATATCATGTGCATCACGTCACCGTCCAGAAGGTACAACTGAGAAGAGGCGCATGTCCAATCACGCACGGTGATGTTCCGTAAGATCCGGACGAAAAGAGAGGCACGTAGCTTGTTCAGAACTTTGTTTATTCGGGAGAATCCTGGGAAGTAAGGGAATCACATACTCTACCTTCCCCAAAGTTACAAAGATGAAGAGACCAGTGGTCTGCTACACAACACCCGGTTCCTGGATATTACAGACGCACAAAACTGTCTCCTGTCCTTGTCACAATACAACCAAAATAGACCGAACGTCGAGCCGTTATCAAAAGGGTCCCCAAAATACTATGAAAAGTCGTTTCATTGGCAGGTCGATTTTTTTCAATGAACGTCTAGGAAATCTCAGCTTATAAATATGCTATTCAGTATAAGCAGAAGCGGGAGACGAGTAGAGGGGTGACCGCTGGTGCGTTCAAGTTAGTTTCAAGTTCAAAAAGGGTATTCATCAACATATCATACCCTTCCGCGTTTCAGAAGACCTCTACATCTGGTCAGTCCAGTATCGTCAGGTTGCATGTTTTCTTTTCACTGCGCACAAGAAAGTGTTTTCGAAAATGTATTCAGTTCCTTCTTCTGATGATTCCATGAAATCATGACGTTAAAATCCATTTGTTAGGTTATCCTGGCAAAATTCCCCACAAACCTCCTCGGTGTGCGCTTCCGCAAGGCTCTAGTATGATGAATTTCGAACATTCTTTCTTCATCCAACACCTTTGTAACACCCTCTGGGTTGGGGGGTTTTAGGGGCTAACGAACTGGAAATAGGGACAGAGATGTAAAAGTCCTCCAACAATGCAGTCCCTGTGCTGATTGGTGTTCTGACGACGGCGTTCCAACGTTCCAGTTATGGAACACGGTGGTGATGGTTTCAGCTGTTCTAACTGCTTTGTCATTAGACTGGCTGTAGTGGGGACGGCCAGTTCGGTGCTAAAAACAGCTTTTCGAGAAAGTTGCAACCTCCGTGTTCATGAATTGGGCCCCGTTATCCACGAATAAATGATCGCAATAGCGATGAGGGCAGTAGGTGGATACCCTTGTAAAACTGATGGTTCATCATTGCATGCGCAACACGAGTTCTTAATCAGCCCAGACTTGAAAACGATTTTGGGGGGCAGATTTTCTCAAAATACGCACGTTGGTGACAATGTGTAGCACGACCCTGGCTCGAAGATCACTATTGTGCTACTGTGAATGAAGCCGACGGCCGGGAACTTCCATCTTGTAGGATTCTGCTATAACCGACTGTGGTGGAGCAATACGCTGAACTGCTTACAGGTGGAGGAGACCCTTTTGATTTTTGTTGGTGGGTCGAGTACGAAATTCTCCTGCCATCCGAGCGACCACAACCGTCAAGGAACCAAATTGTTACCAAAGATAACGTGAACGAAAAGTTCAACAGTTGTCTGCCGCGGATTGGTACCAAGTGGACACGGATGACACCACTCGCAGGCGACCAGTCTTACGTAAAGCAACAACAGGACTGCTCGCGTTTATGTACGGTCAGCAGCCACATCTTTGTCTTGGTCGGGAAAACGGGTTGGGGTCAACTGCGCACCTGTCTCCATAGGAACTATGGGAGAAAAGCACAAGATCGCGAGAAAACGTGGAAATGTTGCAGAAATCAACTGAAAGACACGAAAGTTGAGTGTAAATATCACTGGAAACGCGGAGCGAATCGACTGGGGTGGTGAAAGTTGTAGTTGACCGTCACGGGAACGTTTTCGCGACTCGGAACGGTCAAGGATAAAGTCTGGTAACTGGGAGCCAGCCACAAGGCGCCCGAGGAAGTAATGAATGAATAAGTCGCCGCAACTGAAGGGACTTGCAGCGAAATGGCTATCAACGGCGGGTATGCTATTGGACGGGTGTACGCAATGATGTACATTAGGAATAAAACCTACGATTCGAGTTCTTTGCAGTTTAAAAAACCATTCCTAACCACAACTAACGACTGAGTTAGGAATTATTGGTTTATTCGAATGTATACTTTCGATGAGGTCAAACGCCCGAGGAAACTACAGTAGAACACCTAGGTACATCGGGTTTCTGTATTTTAATGCAAACGATCCTTCTAATCCCGCGTTTGACTTACTGTACCCGCTTTGTTCATGCTTCACGATCAATGACTCAGCAACCGGCCTTTTCATTACACCAGTACTAAGCCGTCTTATATGGATCGCACACTTAATAGGAGACCAAGGCATTACTGGCTTTTTTCGTAAAGAAATTAGTTACCAGGTTGCTGAAAACTCTTTAATCCACTGTCCGACCCACACCATGTTATCATATCAGTGGTTACGGGGACCCATAGAACCAATGGTTATCAAATTGCGACAAGTCGCGAATAATGTGAAAGATGCAGAGTTCCGGCATGAAACAAATCACCAGATGTTTCGAATCAAAGGGAATTTTATCCTATGTGAGCGTAAGCACGGTGGAGTTCTCGTGAAACCTTCGACCGAAGCAGATGATGGTACAGTCTACCCAACTAGCTGCACATGTAGCAATAAGAGTAACAACGAGGTCACCGAATCCCCAACTGGTGTATTGAATAAACTTGCCTTCAATTTTCGTGGTTGAAAGACCAGGCATTTCCCGAGTAAGGATGAAACCACGAATCGTATTCTCTGGTAAAGTTTTCGCCCAAATGATGAACACATCAGCTATGGGAGCGTTGGTTATCCTGGAATATGGGAATCAAAGGCGTAGATGAGTAGTCACTAACGGACTAAATTGCGTGAAGTGCACGGAGTGTGGTTTCATTCAGGATTCGAAACGAGTCCCGAAAATACAAATCGATCTGAACAGCATGTCAACTTCTGGAGTAAATACCAGAAGATTAGTGCACCGGCCTACTCGTTACTGTTTTCACTGATAGTGAAATTTCAAAAGCCCATTTTTATCAGATGATGAGGGTACGGATCAGTGATTTAGCTTCGGTCACCTACACATTCACGACAGTGTGTGGATCGATTAGGCGAAACGATTGTGCGGATATGAAACTTCGGCGAGCAATTTAGAGTGTGGGGGAACAATGCATGTTGCTGAGATCTCCCTACAATCGTTGATTTGATAGCTTCACTCTGATGGCTTCGATGAGCTGCTCCACTAGAGTACACTGTCGTACAATTATTATTTCCATCATCACCAATACAGAAAGACATGGCTACCTACGTGCAACACAGCCATGCTAGTCTAGTTAAGCCCAACCTTGAAACGAATAGATAAGACTCGTGGAAGAAAAGGCAATAAGACTCGTGGAAGAAAAGGCATACAATGCTAGTCTATCAAGGCGTCTGAAGCGCTGGAAAGAGGTTAAGAACAAGAACAAGCACATCTTCAGTGTATTCTAAGGAGGGATCACGTGGATCCAACATTGAAGGCGCAGCGAACTGATAACGTGCGGATTTTCCGAAAGCTCCTTCATTTCGTGCTCAAAAGCCTACCGATCCCTTGGTTTGGGCTACCACAAACTTGGGATCCGAAACGATAACTTCGCGTACTACATACAATTATGTCTAAGCGTACGTCACTTTTCAGTCGTGCCGATTTCAGCTGGACTGACAGATGTACTTACCAACCGTGAGTTGATTACTTTGGATCAAAACATGCGCGCGAAATTAATGACAGAGAGGGTGCCAAAGTGATACAAAAGAATTTACCACGCATTTCTAGGACTGACAAGGGGCCAACACCATCCAATGCCGTAGATTGCACCCAAGATATTTTTAGGTAAAACTACCAAGGGCAGTTTAGGTTATTTATATGAACGCGGAGGGAAGTACTTCAATAGTGAGTTACATTCGCAAGGGACATAAAAAACTGAGGCGTGATGAGAGGGGACGTTTGGTCTCGAAAATCATAATGGAAACCAACTGTCCCACAGAAACGGCATTCACTAGTCGAATGTACAAGGCATCCTAAGTACCGGAGATCATTGAGACTCACGAATAAGGGTAAGCGGCACTACGAATAAGACCCCGTATCATTGGATCTACTCATCAGGGAGATTTTTTCAAGCAGGTTCTTACAATTTAAACAGCTGTACAAATGCCACACAGCCACGCTAGATTGTCAGTAAAGGTTAGAGGCGCACCGGGACATGGCAATGTCCTCAGAAATGTCTTTTCGTTCATGTAGTGTGTACACGAAGTTCTCATTTCGAAGTACTCTTCCAATTTTATAGCATGATACTACCTCATGGTCTAGAATGCTGTACAAACCTTCAACGTATAAAGTGCCTCGACTAGACTGGGAAGGATCACATCTGAAGCACATACTTGAAGATGAACCGATCAAATTGAAAGACGAGCATTGGAGACGATAGCATTATCAGTCTGTTCGGAAAACTAATCAGCTACCCATTCAAGAAGATAGCTCTGATGCATGAGACTTACTGATTGCCACGCCTGTCATTGTCATTAACCACTGGCGAGCTAAGATCTGGAGTCCTCGACCAGAAAGGCGGCAGTCGTCAACCCGACTCAGTATACTTGTTAGTTTTGACAGGTCATCACACTGTCCACTTCTTGGTCGGTCCCACTAAGAGAAAAAAGCTCTGAAAGTCAGACAGCCGTCTGATATGCAGAGCACATGTCCCAACCAGCGTAATCTATGAAGCGTGGGTAATTCATCCAAGGTAGGTGAGTTTCTTCACCCTAAAGTCACCCGGAGTACCACAACATTCCTAATCCGACGTTCTTACCAAACTCGACTAATTCTTCGAAGACGCAGACAGCCAAACACAGACGACTATCGCAGGTGCTCTGTGCGTTGAGACCACGTTTCTGACCTATAAAGCAGTATGTACTTATGTTGTTGACAACAGGATGGCGTCGATGTTCCATTCAAGTTCGCTGGGTTCTTCCAGAATTTGTGTTGAAGACGACAAATGGAACTACTCTTTAAAGCCCATCTCTCAGTATGATTTTGCCGCCCTGATTCTTCACAAATCATTTCGCTGATGCCTGTCTTTTTCAGAGTGGTGCCCCGAAAAGCCAGGAAGACAACAGCATCACCTTAACTGTCCAGCCAATCGCAATATTGAAAAGCATTCGTTACATTGGCGACAATTTAGAATAAACCGCTCAGTCACTTCCCCATATACTCGGATGGATGCTTTTGCGTCTGATTAATAGGGTCCGATGAAATTCAGCAGGTTGCCTGGCATGCCATTGGCTTACAAGAAAGACTATAGGAATTCCCTACTGGTCATATTCAATGCTGCGGGCGGTCAAAGAAACAAGCGGTGGTTGGTTGCTGGAACTTGTAGAGGTGTTCCGAAACAGTGTAGAGTGAATGTTTCGTCAAAACAACCCCTTCCTGAACCGAAACCTCTCTGATTGGGTCTCATGTGAGACTATCTCGCCTGTCTGACGCAGAGCAGCAGTCGTATGGCAAAGATTTTGGCTGCGGCATCCATCAGACAGATGTGTCGGTAGTTCCCACGAACCGTTGTATCTTTCTGGGTATCGGTAGTAGGACAAACGCACCTCAAACCACCAGACACACTTCGGTGTCCTATACTGAGCAAAGCAGCTTGTGAAGGAGTTTGACGACTGTCAATAAAATTCCGACGAAATGTTTGGTTCACCGTTTACGAAATATCTGATTACAGCCAAGCAAAATGTGGATACCCAGTCAGCACTCCATGTCATTTTGGGATGTAACCAGTCAAATAGACTAGACTTCCCTACGTATCATATCATTGAACACTGAAACTGGTGATATTCGCCTAAGGACTTGAACATCAGGTTATTCGCTAAAAGTACCGGGATTTTATTTTCCAGATCACTTCATGTTAGTTATTTTACAGATTTGACGTAGCTGTCATTTTTCGTCCCGCTTATTTTACTCATTCTACACGTTTTGCAGCGGACGAGATGAATTTATCTTGCAACTATGTTGTCTTCATTGCATTATGAAAAAAACAATTAAGCATATGCTGAGACTACCTTTCGTTACTCAGGAGAAGTGGTTGGGAACATGAAAGCCGTACGTTGCCATGCTACTGTGACAGGTGAAGCCAACGCACCGAGCTATAAAGTTTGAATCGTTGGCTACGTTCTATCCGGAGCGGTGACAGACAGCAAACAGCTGAGTCTAACAGATTTCACATGACAGACTACAATGGGTTCTGTTTCGTTCGCTTGTGATAGTTAAACTATGAGAGCATAAACTCTAACACAAGCCGGTGTTAGTTAATTATCGATGGGCGATCATACAACGGGTGCTCAACTTTTCAACAGACAACTTAACTGAAGCACTGTAGATGTTATCTTGGCACTCGTGGGTGGTTTTCTAGCATAAAGGAGTGTTGCTCCACATACCTAAGTTATGGAGGTAGTGGAGAAGAAGAAAACATGGGGTTGTGCAAGATGGCATAAAAGTGTGTCATCAATGTGAGTCGGTTTCCCAGGGAATGGGAAACCGAATCCAGGGTGGTATATTGGACAGAGTATCGGACAGGGTATCCAGCGGCGATCCAAACTTATTCAGTGATCACATTTACATCGGTCCGCACAGATCGATGGAGGATTACAAATGCTACCGGTTTAGATCACCATACGCCCGTTGTCAATGTCTGAGAAGGGAGAGGCCGAAAACCTGGATATCAATCAGCAAGACAGATACCGACCACGTCGGATCACACGCTTCGCAAGGAATGTCGGTGGAACCCAAATCGGTCCACAATCTGTGTAAGTCTTGCTGTACATTATCAGTTATGAACAGTAGTGATGCGTTAAACCAGTACAGACCCTAACGAAGGTGACAGCTAAGAAAAGTAGACCAGAAGATGACGGTACCTGAGAGCCTTTGTGATAGGCTCTCGGTCGGTTCGATCCTTTATTCCCTTTAAAGACTAATCCTAAGTTTCAAAAAATGGGCAAGGTAACACCAACTTCATTACGTCTAATATATGCACACTAAGTCTATTAGAGCGGACGCCGAAATGAAAGTTGCAGACAAGTCCGTGAATAAAGCATAAAAGACTGCTCTCATGGTGTCCAGCAACTTCAAACTAGCTCTGTTGATTCCGTCTCCGAAACGTGACTTAAGGATCCAAGACACTCGGCCAAACGTTTGTGTGACATGGACAATGTACATCTGTGGCCCTTCCACAGAGTTAAACGAGGTAAGCTAATCATCAATGCACAGTAAAATGCATCGACTTGGGATCATGTGGTAACTGCATGGGTATCGGAGACTATTATTCAGAGAATGCATAACTGTTCCCACGGGACGGCCAGTGCCCGAGAGCATATCATTACGAGATGGGAGATGGCAACTCACCAAGTTTTTGATCCCGAAATGACAAAAGCTTTTTTGTTGGCATCATAGACCGCGCATGTCTCCATACTAGCTGGGTCACTGCCATGATTCGGTTCGGTCAGGCCAAAGCAGCCAACGAGCTCACCACTGGCTGATCAGGGTAATAGGAAAAATGGAAGTAATTAGAATGCAATGTGCAAGAGATCGAATTCGACAACAAAAATTAACTTTTGAAGAAATTTGTCTGGCAGGTTTGGTTTGGATCATCAAAGCGAGAGCACTGAAAGTACAACAGTAGCCGTCGGTAACGTCGAAGAGTTAATACAGAGTCACATCCACCTAAGTGTCGTAGACTGGTATCCACTTCCAATCTAGTCAATTACACTACACAGGATATTACACCCCAATGCGCAACGCAGCTCGTGCTGTTTTTTGGCTTTGTAAGCTACATAATCTTAACTATGATAGTATCGTGAGATACCACAAATACAGGATTCAGGCTAATACCGAATATAACTGGGAGCCCGCAAATAAAACCACCATCGACTGGAACCGAAGTACAAAGGAACGCTACGGTGCACAAGCTGTAGGTATCACGTGAGCCGGACAAAACTCATGCACATGGAGAAAGTGTGGGAGATACCAGTTTTTCTTCCAGTGGCCAGATAAGCTAACTGGGGGTGATATGGTATGATAACGAAAGCACACTGTGTACGAATAGCAACTCTTCAGTTCAGGAGGAATCATAAAGACAAACTGTAGTCTCCAACAACCGCATAATCACGCTCTTAAAGAGGTTACTTGAAATGGCACTTATGATCCCTTAGGCTTTGAACCAAAAATGATATACGAAGTACTTAGCATTAAGTCTAAGTAGCTGCTTTTGCTATCCAGGCAGGCAACAAACTATAAATCCAGTGTGAACGCAAGCAAGGTTAAACAAGAACGCAAATAGAATTGTGATTTACAGAGCAGTGGCGCTCAGTAAACCCACCGAGGCCGGGGAGGAAGGTCTTCTTCTGGTCTTCTGAACCAAACTTCCATATAGGTAGCATGACCAAGGAAGACTGAACACTGAAGGCCGATCGATAACCACTGTCGACTCTGGAAGAGGTTAGACAGAGGATTGATATGGCAACCGCAAGAAGATAGAGCAACTAACCCTTATTCAGAACTGAAGTCGGCTGAGAAAAAGCAAAGCTAACGGAGCGTTGGACTTTCAAGTGTAATTCAGGTTGCGATGAGCATGGTACCAACCTCAAGCAAGAATATAACTGACTGTCAATAAGTTTCCTCTTACTAGTGAAAGACTTGAGCTCAGAATCGAATTACGCAGCCTAAACCAGAAATCGTTTTGAGGGATTAGTTTGAGAAGCTGAACTAGCACTCAAGACATTTTGGACTGTGGTTGGTATGGGTGAAATCATATTTGTTCATATTCTCCACTTATATTTATTTTGATAACCTGGATGTCATTCCAACTGAGGCACAAGGTCTCTGCAACACATCTAGTTGCAGAATATCAACGATACAGGATACAGTTCAATCTCACATCATTACCAATTAAATTTGCAAATGAGTGTATGACTACACAGTTGGTTGGTTTGTTCGACACGTTCCGGAATTACCATCGACCTGTGCCCCCACCATTTACAGTGACAATAGTCCCTCCCCACAAGAAAAGGGTTACCATCCTCCTAAACAATGAAAATAGTCTCCTTCGGGGTTTGAATGCGGAAATTTCCCTGGAATTCTAAGTACATGTATCCATTATAATAAAAATGGAAAGTTCTAACCAGATGTTGTAACTGTATTTTTCTCAGTTTAGTTCTCGGTCTGAGCCTCCCAAGCTAGCGTTCACGTCAAAACAAACACCAAAGGTGCAAAAGGTCTATTAACGCCCAAAACGAAATCAGGAACAGTTGTACAGCGCTTCGTATATATATAGCGTAAGCGGCTATAACTTTCTGGAATTTCTGACGCGTTCTGGAGCTCCATTGGCAACCGGCATTTGGCCAATACTGGGTCATGATTGGCTGTTGGGTCCAGATTGTTGACCAACCAGATCTCGTCTTGATGCCGGACCGGCAAGCGTCCCGAATTTTAGGCCAACCTCGAGCGGGCCAGGCTTCTCGGCCGTAGCAGCGCCTAAAGACGTGCGGCATAGTGGGATCCGCGTGGATTCCTGC